AACACACAACATCCCCCGGAGGGGATGAAAAGGGTTACAAATCAAATATTAGTAAAAGAAAAATAACTGCCTAAAAAGTAAGGGAACAAAAAAGCATTAAAAAAAAGAAAGATAAATTGGTATACGAGGAATGTGTTACTGGCTTAGTTTATGTAGGTGCTGCTGTCTTGTATTAAAACAGTTTTTTAAATATTGCGCTAAAGGAATTGACATTTTCTCGTTACTTAGTAATGACATGGAGGGGTTTATAGTTCCATGGTAATGATATGAATTTATTTTCATTACTAAATTTGTCAAAATTTGGTATACATTTTTAGCTACAATGTAAAGTTTTGATCTTATTTCGTTGTAATGAGGACAATTTATGACAAAATGTTGTTCATCTTCAACATGGTCATTGTCGCACATATTGCAGACTCTGTCTTTAAAATCCAAACCTATATGCGTGTCAATTGCATGGTATTTTCAAGAGTGATGCGATGGTGACCATGGCTTCTGGGTTTATTTTTTTTAATGCTTAAACCATCGACATTTTCGCCATTATTTGAATGCCATTATACTATTGAGCTACTGGTATATTATTTCGTTACTGGCCAGTATCCTGAACATGATTACCATCAACAAAAATAATGACCATTTCACACCTGAACTTGTCTTTAGAAATGACACACATGCCACGACAGCCCCCGTCACCACCTGGATTATAGACGAGACTAAGCTGTGAAATATATACAATTCTGGGAAGGTGTGGCGTCATGGAAACAATAGGGTGACAATTTCCAGCCCGCGAATAAACGTTTATCGGTTGTTCATCAGAAAGCCGTGAACAATGAAGTGATTGACGGGTGTTGACCAAACTCGACTCAATACTGTATGCTACGCACGTGAACATTTCACACATTTTTTGCGCTCAGTTTTCGCTCCATTTAATGTTCACGTTGATGCTACCCACCCTCGATCAAGAGTTGTGTATACTTCTCAATATCAGTACGTGTTTTTTGATTAAAATCAGATTTTTTAAAAATGTTAACGATTTGTATTAATTGACACAAATTATTTAAAATACATACACCAGATTATAAAATGGTGTTGTACAATGTATTCTTATCCGCTATTACATTTGACCATGGATGTACTGATGTACTTAGTACATCCATGATTTGACTCAGTCATTCACATGAAAAGTGTATTCATATTGCTTATTATCTTTTTAGTTTATAAATTACTCCACATTTTCAAATTCCGATGCAATCATAGACCTGCTCTAATAAACTCTATGATGCAATAAACTTTGCAAGAAAATATAAAGTCACAACAGTTTTTTCAATGAATTTAAAATATTTGTGTAAGCATAGATATACATTAAAATTTATTCACCCTAAATATTTTATGACGCTGTTGATGCATGCCTTCACAAGCAAGACTTTAAATGACCCGTGAAAGATATGTTAATGGTGGCAAAAATAGTTTGCTTTGTTTTAGAAATAAGCCAGAGCTCCTTGAAATAATACATTAGTACTTGTGAACGATCCACACTGACCGATAATCACCAATTCACGGATAGACACTTTGACGTAGATTGCGCAATGTGGATGGGGTACGGGCATTGCGCATATGACGTCATTTCTCGAACCCCTCTAATCGAGCACTATATATACCACGTGACTTGCACTGAACCGGTCTCTTCTAACTCGTGGCACAGCCGTGGTAAGTCTCGATTTTCTGTCTTGTCATTTGAAATCCATTGCAATCTGCTTGAGTTTTCACAAAGGAAGTAACATCTTGTATATGTATAGTTGAAGAACTTAACTAACTATCTCATCGTTATTATTTTGCCGATGATCAGAATCCGGTCGACTTTTTAATTCGTGAAAAACCTGAGCAGTTTTTCGGAAGCTATTGGACGTCGTTGGTACAAAAGCACTCATAAGCTATTCGGATTATTCAGGACAAATTTATGACAATTCAATGATACTTGCAGACATTTTAAATTTGTAATGTAATTTATATTTTGGATTCTTAAAAGCAGACAACGATAATTTTTGGACCAAAGAGCCGTTGATTGTTGCCCAAGCTGTTTGGATAGACCGGCCATTGTTGGGCGTATTCGAGATTGCACAACACTTTGAAATTAGAGAGAGTGGTGATACGTTTATATTCCGCGACTTGGCTCGGCACAAATTCAGTGTTGTAGTTGACAGGACCTGTGAAATCAAGAGACTCGAGCTTTATTTTATTGAAGCTGCAAGTTTGGTCGACAAAGACGGCAGCCATCTTGGAGAATTGTCAACGTGGAAATAACGATTATATTTCGGTTTGGTTAACTCCCAACTTAATATTCCCACCTACAACAGTAGCCTCTAAAACATTTTTTCATTTGTAGTCGTCCATTTTATTGTCTTGAAATATTCAATTTTGTATTTGTGTGTATCGCTCCTGTATTCCCTTACAACACGTGGTAATCATAGATTTAACGAATCAGTCTGTTCGAGGTAGTTGACTGTACATGCTTTCTTCTCGGAGGCCTATGTGGGGTATTTCCGCAGTATTTGTGACCAATCTTGCACGAGTTCCCAACACCCCGTAAAGTATTTCATAAAAACTTCAACCTTTGTCCTTTTGAAAACAAAGGCTTGTTCACAATGCGTCAACTTTCCTGGCAACGTGGACTTTTATAGTCTGGTTTTAACGTGAAGCCATTTTCGCTGCATGGAGTCGGTCCAATAGGATTTGAGTGAACTAATACATTTACGCGATTGATTTGTTTAATGTTTTTTTCTTTTCTTTTTTCACAGAAAAAGCCAAGCCAGCCCTAACATCTCAGCTTAGCCCAAGTTGATAAAAAACAAACAAATCAGAATGCCTAAAGAAAAAACTCACATTAACATTGTTGTCATCGGTCATGTAGATTCTGGAAAGTCAACCACCACTGGACATCTTATTTACAAATGTGGTGGAATTGATAAAAGAACCATTGAGAAATTTGAAAAAGAAGCACAAGAAGTGAGTAAACTGCCTGTGGATATCAATCGATTCCATTTAGATGACAAATTGTGTACCCCTTCAATGGAAAATTGTATCCATCCTATTCAGATCTCTTATTAAAAAAATAATTCAAGGATTGATATTGAAGTTTTCTGCAGTTGGACAGCAGAATTAATTTGATTTAAAACAAATTGCAATAATGGCTGTCACGGAGTGTACTGCCCTCATGCCTTGGCCATGGACCCCCTACCCTAGGGAGTAGATCCTATGGCAACCATACAATTCAGATTGACCAGGGAATAACGTATGGCGAGTCTTCAACTGTGACCAGCATGACAGTAATGTTTGCCACAAGAAAGCCTTAGAATGCTTTATTTTAACTTAGAAATATCAAACTCCACACCCTGGTAGGGGAGTAACCCCCCTCCCACTTGGTGGCGCTGCTGAATTGCAGTTTTTATTCTAGAATAACCCCTGACTGTCATTGTAACTGACTCTTTTCTCTTCAATAGATTGGAAAAGGTTCTTTCAAATATGCCTGGGTATTGGACAAGCTGAAGGCTGAGCGTGAACGTGGCATTACTATTGACATTGCATTATGGAAATTTGAAACTGACAAATTTATGATTACTGTTATTGATGCCCCAGGTCATCGTGATTTCATCAAAAACATGATTACGGGAACCTCTCAGGTGAGTCTTGCAGTGTTTTTTTAGTATAATTAACTATCATTTCTGGAGCTTAAATTGGTGTACAGTCTGCGGTATTAGATTTAAAAGACTGGTTCTTGCAAACAAAAAAATATCAGTATTTAAAAATGTCAATCATTAAGTTTGTAAACTCTGCCATAAACACTCGACTTAGTCCAAATTCCTTCTTTTGTATCTAACAAGCTCTTGTGTTACTTTGTAGGCTGATTGTGCTGTGCTGATCGTTGCTGCTGGGGTGGGAGAATTTGAAGCCGGTATCTCCAAAAATGGCCAAACTCGTGAACATGCTTTGTTGGCTTTCACCTTGGGAGTAAAGCAACTGATTGTTGGTATCAACAAGATGGATAATACTGAACCACCATACAGCGAGTCTCGGTTCAATGAAATTGTGAAGGAAGTGTCCGCATATGTGAAGAAAGTAGGATACAACCCAAAGAATGTTGCCTTTGTACCAATCTCGGGTTGGCATGGAGACAACATGTTGGAACAATCTGCAAATGTAAGTGTGAAATTGACTGGTAATGGGTATATGCACACATTTGCTTTGTTGGTTGTATTGGGTTTCGTTGACAAGATTTGCACAAGACCATTTGTTGCCACTGTTCCATTCTACTGGTTCCCTGGACCATGTAGCTGAACAAGTGGATGCAATGCATCTGCTAATAACTTTACTGATTTAAAAATACACAACTTGTATCTCATTTTAGATGAAATGGTACACTGGATGGAGCATGGAACGCAAAGAAGGAAACGCCAAGGGTATAACTTTGAAAGAGGCTATGGACGCTATCTTGCCACCCAAACGTCCAAGTGACAAACCTCTTCGTCTACCACTGCAGGATGTCTACAAAATTGGAGGCAAGTTTACAATACTGATTAATGAAACTGCAAACAACATGTCTCCACGAGGGGTTTTATCGGGGCCCATGCCCCGTTATTTAAAATGTGCAGCCTGGTCGAATCAACAGTTTGTCTGCTTTGTTCAAAAACAATTTTACTGTGTGCACACTGATATTATGTAACACTTGCTTTTGATTGACCAAAGCCATGCATTGACATGAAAAAGAACCAATCAGAATGTTTGTTCCAAGATCACAAGTAAATTTATCTCCTTCACTTATGATAAAAAAAAACGCATGGCTGTTTTACCAGGGTTTTTAAATCCTAATTTAAAGAAAATTAAACTTTAAATAGCGACATTCGTCAAAATATAAACATTTACATGTTTGAGCAATCATTCATGTGGACTTCTTGGTGATCGACAATGTCTGTGATATTACGTCTATTGCGCAGGTCGTTTACCGATCATGCAAGTGCATGGCTGCCTTGGTTCCGCTCAGTGGCGACTATGTTGCAGCTACAGTGTCATGATGCATGGTGCGCTCAGTTTGATTTTCAAACTATGTAGAAGCCTGAATAATCTTAATTGTTAAACCTAAAATGTTTCTAGGTTGTATACAAGAACTATGCATCGTAATATAAATTTTACTAATAGTAATCGTAGGATGTATGCAACATTTATTTTTAAAAAACCTTTTTTATACTAAAAAAAGAACTTCATAGTATCCAGTGGTATTAGACCTAAAAAAAATGTTCTACAATAAAGGCCATTATATCGTTTTATTCCTGGTATCAAGCTAATAAATATCACTGACATTTTGTTTTAGGTATTGGAACTGTGCCAGTAGGAAGAGTAGAGACTGGTATTATGAAACCTGGCATGATTGTTACTATTGCCCCAGCTATGATCACTACTGAAGTAAAATCTGTTGAGATGCATCATACAGCCCTAACTGAAGCCTTGCCTGGTGACAATGTTGGCTTTAATGTCAAGAACGTCTCTGTGAAAGAAATTCGCCGTGGTAATGTTGCTGGTGACAGCAAAAATGATGCCCCTAAAGGAGCCAAATCCTTCAATGCACAGGTAAGAATAACTTATCTCTTAGGTTATGCCTTTCAAATCATTATGCATTTATTAAGATGCAAGTCTAAAGCCTGAAATCAACAAAAATGCTACCATTTAAAAATGAAATAATCCAGAGCAACAGCCTAGTTAGTTCCCGTTCGGACGCGGTCCGAAAACGGGGACTTGTGTTTTGACGTCCATCTGTGTGTGTGTGTGCGTGCGTGTGTGTGATTGGACCCGTATCTTAAAAATGCCTGGACCAATCACAATCAAACTTTACACATGCATCATACATGATAGTATACATATGCACATCAATTTGTTTTGCGATCTGATTTAAGATGGATGACTGGCGGGCATTTTGTTTTAATGAATGTGGTTCTCGCACCAAATGTCTAACTTGTTTTGACTGATTATGTTCAAATTTTTAATATTCATTATACATCATGTCATAGATATACGGATATATTGGTTTGATGATCTTTTTCAAAGTGGCCAAATGGTGGCTATTTTTAGGCTAAAAAAAATCATCAAATATCAAGCATTTCTGGCATTTATGGATGGATTCAGTTCAAACTTATAACATACATTAGATATAACAGGTTCCTGATGCATGTCATTTTATTTTTCAGATTGGATTCAAAATGGCTGACTGGTGGCCATTGTTTTAATGATTGGGCTTCTCGAGCCATATCTTTTAAATGCTTTGACTGATTATATTCAAATTTTATATATTCGTTATACATCATGTGATATATATATACATGTATTCAAAATGGCTGATTTTGAATGTTCCAGAGCAATATCTCTCAATATGGACAAGTACTTGTTTGACGATCAGATACAAATGTCAATCATTTTAAATGTTAAAAAATCGTATTCCTGACTTAGTTATATTACTATAAACAAAACTATATCTTAAATTTGAGAACTAACAGGGACTGTGCCATGCATGGCTTGTTGTTGTAAATTATTTAGTACAAGAAATTCTTTCTCAAAGCGATTTGTTTGTGCAGCTGTTTGCTAGTCTTATTTTACTAACTGTTTCATGTGCTGTGTATAGTATGCAATTCAAATTGAACATGTGTGCAATGATATTTGTACATTTCCTGTCTCTGTACTGTTTCAATAAGCTAAAAATGTTCAATTGTTTTTCAACAGGTCATTGTGTTGAACCATCCAGGACAAATTGCAAATGGATACAGTCCAGTCTTGGATTGCCACACTGCTCACATTGCGTGCAAGTTTGCTGAACTGAAAGAAAAGTGTGATCGCCGTACTGGCAAAAAAATTGAAGACAACCCCAAGTTT